AGAGCTTCAAGCACCGCTCCCACCTGGTGCGCCACATGTACGCGCACTCGGGCGAGCACCTGTTCAAGTGCAACCTGTGCGAGATGCACTTCAAGGAGTCCTCGGAGCTGCTGCACCACCAGTGCCAGCCGGAGGGCGAGCGGCCCTTCCGCTGCGGCTCCTGCGGCAAGAGCTTCAAGCGCCCGTCCGACCTGCGCCAGCACGAGCGCACGCACTCCGAGGAGCGGCCCTTCCAGTGCGAGGAGTGCCAGATGAGCTTCAAGCAGCAGTACGCGCTGGTGCGCCACCGCCGGACCCACAAGAACCCGGCCGACCGGCCCTTCAAGTGCAACCTGTGCGACAAGGGCTTCCTGCAGCCCTCGCACCTGCTCTACCACCAGCAGGTGCACGGCATGGAGAGCCTCTTCAAGTGCGCCTCCTGCCAGAAGTCCTTCAGCCAGTCGGGCGAGCTGCTGCGCCACAAGTGCGGCGGCGAGGTGGAGAAGCCCTACAAGTGCGAGGTGTGCGGGAAGGGCTACAAGAAGAACTCCACGCTGCAGCGCCACCAGAACACTCACTGCGCCGAGAAGCCGCTCAAGTGCTCGCTGTGCGACAAGCGCTTCGTGTCCTCCTCCGAGTTCGTGCAGCACCGCTGCGACCCCACCCGCGAGAAACCGCTCAAGTGCCCCGACTGCGAGAAGCGCTTCCGCTACTCCTCGGAGCTGCAGCGCCACCGCCGCGTGCACACCGGCGAGAAGCCCTTCAAGTGCGCCAGCTGCGACAAGAGCTTCAAGCAGCGCGAGCACCTGGCCAAGCACCAGAGCGTGCACTCCCGGGAGACGCAGTTCAAGTGCGTGTGGTGCGGCGAGCGCTTCGTGGACCTGACCGCCCTCCAGGAGCACACCGTCCAGCACACCGCCGAGGGCGAGAGCTTCCCCGAGGCGCCCTGCATCCCCTGAGTTAGCGCCGCCCGCCCCAGCTAACCACGCGCTAGCATCACTTTTGGTTTCTCTGGACTCGGTTCGGTCGGTTTCCCTGGACTCGGTTCGGTCGGTTTCCCTGGACTCGGTTCGGTCGGGGTCTCGTGACTCTGTCAGTTTCTCTAGACTCTGTTCGGATAGTTTCTCTAGACTCTGTTCGGACAGTTTCTCTAGACTCTGTTCGGTCGGTTTCTCTGGACTCTGTTCGGTCGGTTTTTCTTGAACAAATCGGTTCGGTCAGTTTCTCTTGACTCTGTTCGGACAGTTTCTCTAGACTCTGTTCCTTTCGGGTTTTCCTGACTCTGTCCAGTCAGGGTCTCCTGATTCTGTTCGGTCGGGGTCTCTTGACTCTGTTCGGTCAGTTTCTCTGGACTCGGTTCGGTCAGTTTCTCTGGACTCTGTTCGGATGGGACTTTGTTCGGACAGTTTGTCTGGACTCTGTTCGGTCGGGTCTCTTGACTCTGTTCGGTCAGTTTCTCCTGACTCTGTTCGGTCGGGGTCTCTTGACTCTGTTAGTTCGGGGTCTCTGGACTCTGTCCGGTCAGTTTCTCTGGACTCTGTTCGGATGGGACTCTGTTCGGATGGGACTCTGTCAGTTCGGGGTCTCTTGACTCTGTTAGTTCAGGGTCTCTGGACTCTGTTCAGACAGTTTCTCTGGACTCTGTTCGGTCAGTTTCTCCTGACTCTGTTCGGTCGGGGTCTCTTGACTCTGTTCGGTCAGTTTCTCCTGACCCTGTTCGGTCTTGGTTCCTAGTCCGGTCTCGGTTCCTGGTCCGGTCCCAGGGGGCTGCCCCCCCCCATAGAGAGGGTGAGTGTGGGGCGTGGGGAGATGCTGGTTTTGTGTAGAGGGTGGAACCGTAGTCTGTGGTTGCATGTGGTCGTCTGTCGTGTTCGCGTTGGTCTCCATCCTTAGTGCTCCTCTCTAGGCTCCATGTGCCTTTTCTCTTTTCTCTGTTTTAACCAATCAGTCATTTATGTGTTGTTTTTTTAACTTAAAGCTGGCAGGCGCCCCCCCCCCCCCCTCACTCACAAACTAGACCTTTAGCTAGCGTCATCCGTTTGTGCATGAATATTTATCCCACCTTAATATCACTGTTGTATTATAGGTTTGGTTCATTTAGGAAAGCGTCCCAAGAGGAAGAAAAAGAAAAAAATCAAGTGGATTTGTGAAAATGTATAGCCGGTGTCATATAAAAATCTGTGTCGTTGCATCTTTGTATTAAAAAAATGACGGCTAGGTAACTAACCCGTACCTATGGTGTCATACCAACACTTGACTTGTGCAATAGGACATGCACAGTGTAATATTTATGACTACTGATTCATGGAATAGTCTACTCTGTTATATTATAGATTGTGTGTATACGCTCTGTAAACTTTTGAAGACTGTATAGTGCTTATGTTATCTGCTTTTCTATTCACTATGAATGAGCTTGTTGTATTTTTGCAAGCAGCTTAGCTTCTTTTCCAGAAGAGTTATCATGAAGTTTAAACCCAACGAGACTTCGAAGCATTTTGTTGCTCATTTTGCCACAAACTAGCTGCGTTAGTTACTGTGATAGATCTAACAAAAGTTACATTATTATTATTATTATTATTATTATTATTATTATTATTATTATTATCATCATCATGGTTTGTTTTCTAAAAATTGACCTGGATTGTTTTCACAGGATTCCAGCCTCCAAACCAGACTTAAATAATCCGAGTAGCCTCAAAAGTTGCCACTTATGTCTCGGTTTATACCGAAAAGAGAGAAGAAAAAAAAGAGACGTGTGTACTTTAGTTTACTGTGTGGATTTTTATATTCTATACAATCTTTGCAGTATATTTAAAAGACGGTTTTTGGACTTAAAGCTCCCGACGGGGTGGGAGCTGCTGGGTTTGGTGGAGACCGAGTGGTTTGAATCCAGGGGAGTCTGCCTCAAAAGAAGCCCCGTGTTTTGAAGTGTATGGATATCATTATAGACTCCTGTTCATACTGTATATTAAAATAAACCACCCTTATAAGAAGCAAGGCCCTGTTTATGTTCGTTTTACCGCTCAAAGACGCTTTTCTGTGTTTCCTGGGGGAAAAAAAAAACAACCAAACTGGGCCTCATTTGGAGTTTTGTGCTCGTATTTTTCATCAATCTCTCTAATTAATGACGTTTTGGCTGATTTATTACCCTGATCTTAAAAAAAAAGAGATATTTATCTGATTTTAAAGTGGTTGTGAATTGTGTCTTTTGCAGTTTAGACTAAATTTGATAATAAAATAAGTGGATTTTCTTGTTGAGGGAACAGTGAAAATGTGGGGGGATGATGTAAAGATATAGAAGGTCAGTTTGTTTTCTGACCATTATGTGGAAAACTAATTTTACCAAAATATCAGAGTTTTCTCTCATTTTTGGTCCTTGTAGCTGGGCATTTTCGCAGGACTGTGTTTTTTTTCTTTGTTCAGCCACTTAGCTCTGAGTCATTCAGCCAGAAAAAAGGCCCCTAACTCAAGGGATGAGCCACCCTGTGTCTACACAGATCTGTCTGAAGCTCTTTCCAGGGTTTGTTTGTCAGTTTTCTGAGTTTTTCTCTCATTTTCAGTAAATATTTTTCTTTGTTCAGCCATTTGAACTCTGACCTATGAATCATTCAGGTAGAAAAAAGGCCCCTAACTCAAGGGATGAGTCAGCGTTGTGTCGATACAGAACAGTCTGAAGCTCTTTCAGGGGTTTTCTTTGTCAGTTTTCTGAGTTTTTTCTCATTTTCAGTCCAGATTTTTCTTTGTTCAGCCACTTAACTCTGAGCTCTGAGTCACTCAAAGGCCCCTAACTCAAGGGATGAGCCAGTGTCTGCAGCTTAAAGTGGATCTTCAGGCTCTTTGTCACAGAGACCCATCATCTGTTCTGGAGCTGATGGAAGAAAAGGGCCACAGAAAACCCAGCATCCATATGTCAACAAATCTGCATTTGAGTGTTAACAGTTTTTTTTTTAGAGCAACACAAAGTCGTTTCTCCATTTACAGGATTTATTTATCTGACTAATTTCCAAGTCCTTCCCTCATGTGACAGAAAGTGGAGTTAGTTCTGGTCCATAACTGCTCTGATCTAAACATTTAGCAGGTGTGGGGCTAAATGAGGATCTCTTAGGGGTTTATGCAAAGCTTTAGAAACAAAAACAATTCACTACTTCTTTCCTACGTTTAAAAATGTTTTTAAGTTAAAATCGTTTTGGTTTGTTTACAAATTAGACTAAAATTAGTAATGAAAAATATCTGTTTTTACGACGGAATACGAGGGCCACATTTGAATTGTTTTAAAGTAAATAATTAGGAGATTAAAGTTCTTATTAAATATGGTGAGCATAAACCTCTCAAATTGGTCATTAAACTGCCGCTGACCACTTCCAGCCTTTTCCTCTCCACAGAAACAAGGATGTCCTACAAGTCCCCCTGGTTATTTCTGAGGAAAAGATGCATTTTTCTGCATGTTCTCTTTAACGTCCTGATACTTACGATAATCTGATTCTGAAATGCCAAAAGATTAAGTATCTCCTTGTTTGTCAAACCTATCCAAAGGGACATTTCCTCGAATTCCATGCTCCACCACCCTCATTTGATCAACTCTCATCTCATCTTACTTTTATTTACGACTTTATTCTTGTAATTTATTCTTGCCATATTTAATTACGTTTTTATTCTCGTAATTAATTATTGCTATATTGAATAACGACTTCAATCTCGTAATTAATTCTTCTTATATCTGATAACGACTTTAATCTAGTAATTAATTCCAAAAATGCATTATTTTATAAATGTGGCCCTAATATTCCGTCATAGTTTTTCTTTTTTAAACATGAATTTTCTTTTTTAAACTTTACAAACACAGCCTTGGCACATTTTAACCAAACGTAAATTAAACGTAAATAAACAAAGAGTTAGTTTAGTATAAAAAGACGAAAATATGTGTTTATTTTTCTTTTTCTTACCGTAATTAGCTTGCAGGGCGGCCTGGTCGGTTCACTTCCGGGTTAAGTTTTCCGCAGAGGGAACTACTTCCTGGTTCTGACTCGACCCGCTGTTGGATGTACCTCCTCCTCCACCACCTCCACCCATCTGTCAGAACCATTTAGTCCCCCACCCGGACGGTATTCCGCCCTTTATCGATCTCCTGGAACCCGGCGGGGCCCCGTCGCTTAACGGCTATCGGAGGACCGTTGGAGCTCGCGCGCTAACGGCCGTTGATGACGGTTGGACTTCCTCCGGGCGCGAGCTTTTTACGACGAGGTTAGCCGGCTAATTTTAGCCCCGCTATTGATTCTGTTAATCAAAAAATGATGCTACGGGCGCATTATTTGGCTTATGCGTTATTAATCTACTACATTTTACGGACTTAACTGAAAACACCTCTTCTCTGCTAAAGCAACCGGCCAAATCTGAACAGTTTGATGCTAAATAAGCTAACCAGGTTATCGTTACCTGTTAGCCTAGTTAGCTGGAGATGAATGTGTCGTTAGTGATGCTAGCTAATACTGACACAGTTCCCTGACCGAGTTCTGAGAGGTAACACTTTAAATATAACGTAAAAAATGTAGATGATTAATTTTTTGGTGCGACAGACTCCAAACGAAGGCCTTTGGGTCAATTAGAGACGGATGGTCGGTTAAAGAGAAGCTGGATTCGGAATCAGAAAATATAGTGGGCCTGCCATTAAAAAACCCCAAAAGGATTAATTAAATATCATGATAGATGTTATAAAGGCGAGAAAAGATTAAAACACCACCCTGAAAACTCCATATTGCATTGTTGTGTATTTGAAACGACCATTTTATTAAAACCCAGCTTGTAATCACGACAGAGGTAGAACATCATTACATTTTGTAATGCTACGTTAAAATCTAATAAAAATGGTCCCAAAATTGGGGTAATCGCCTAGATATTTAACTAAAAAGAAAAAAAATATTAACAGAAGGACACAAAACTACCTATTTAAATTAAGATGGTTACTTTATTAAGAATGATGTAACAGGTTCACTGGTTATGCAGACTTGACAATCCTGGTTATTTCTGTCTGTGAATTAGATGGTCATGGATATATAATTAGGTTTCTTAACGTCTTGTTTTCCCTCTCTACCAGTGGAAAAAGTTTAGTGGTGCTTCCTAAAATCCCGTGCTTGTAAACAGACAGATACAAAAGATACCAAAAGGTCATGGAGGATTCCCAAAAGCCTTCCCTCTGTCTCTCTCTCGAGTTTTCCAAATGTGTTTCTCGTGTTAAATACCTTCGTATGTCTCATATCTGTTGTTCCTCTGTGCGGACCTGGATCAGACAATCACACATTATTCTTTTGTTTCCCCCCCAACATCATCTTTATTGGGTTTTGGAAAATTCTTCCAGTGATATACAGAAAATAGCTTAATCTCACAGATAAGGAAAAGTCAAGGGCAACTCAATTATCGTTCAGCTTGTCTTTCCTCAAAAGTCAAGTTTTTATGAGATATCATAGAGTCCCACTCAGTTGAAAAGACAAAAAAATACAACACTAATCAGAACAAATTCCTTCAAAATGAAGAAGTACCTTATCCAACGAAAGTACATTGTTTTAGAATATAATCAATTTAGCTTTACTGGTGCTCTTCCATAAGAATATTTGACTTTTTTTGCACATGTCAATGGCAGTAATAATTTTTCTGGATGTCTATCGGGATATGAAGCTGTATGGGCGTCACACATTTCCTCATTAGCCAGTTAAACTGCAGTACTCACGCCTCTTTCCGGTCCTGTAAATCTTCCCTCCAGGCGATTGATATCGGACAATATTCTCATCCAGGTGGAACAAGTAAAACCTCTATGCCTTAGACCAGAAGAACTGGTCTTTTTGGCACAATAATAGTTTAGAAAAACATTGTAAAGTTGAAATTAGAGTTGTTTTTACAAGAGTTAAGGACCTACAAATGGGTACCTAGTTTTAATCTCTCTATAAAGGATCAGAACACTATAATAGTATAGAAAAACATCGTAAAGTTTGAGTTGGAGTTGTTTTTACAAGAGTTAAGGATCTACAAATGGGTAACTAGTTTTAATCTGTCTATAGAGGATCAGATCTTTTTTTATTTTGGTTTGGCAGTGCTAAAACAGAGCTATTTTGTGATAAAACCAGCCTCTTTTACGTTATCCTTTCCGACCCTTGGATGGTTTGTACAACAACCCGTTGATCTATTAAGCAATTTGTCCATTTTTGTTTTCTTTTTACTGTGTCCAGACGTATAGTTTGTTAATCTGAGATGAACAAATACAGCAGGTTGTCAGTTTAAAGAAAGCAAAAGCTTCCGTTATACTTTCCCACCCTCGGATGGTTTCTACAACAACCAGTTGATCTAGTTGAAATTTGTCCATTTTTGTTTTCTATTTGCTGTGTCCAGACGTATATTTTGTTAATCTGAGATGAATAAAAACAGCAGGTTGTCAGTTTAAAGAAAGCAAAAGCTTCTGTTATACTTTCCGACCCCTCGGATGGTTTGTACAACAACCAGTTGATCTATTAAGCAATTTGTCCATTTTTGTTTTCTTTTTACTGTGTTCACACGTATAGTTTGTTAATCTGAGATGAATAAAAACATCAGGTTGTCAGTTTAATGAAAATTATAAGCTTGTAAACATGTGCTGATGACTGTGGTTTCCCCCCAGCTGGCGGTGCTCCCCCCCCTCCTGCCCAGCGTGTTTCTTAGGGGTTTCTCTCGCTCTGTGCTGGTGGCCTTGTCCCTCTGCTCGGCGGCCGGCTTTCCCCAGAGGGCACAGGCAGCCCAGGCCAATGCGAAGCTCCCCCCCGGGATCCTAGAGCCCCGAAGCCTGCACGGTCGCTGCCCCGCCGCCGCCTTCCGGTACCGCGCCGACAGCAAGCAGCCAGAGGAGGGCGGGGGTCCCCGGCCCGGGGCCGACCAGCGCGCCATGCCCGGGTCCACGCCGGCCAGCAGCAAGGCTCGGGTCTACACCGACGTCAACACGCAGAAGAACCGCGAGTACTGGGACTACGACGCACACGTGCCCAACTGGAGGTACGGGCCGTTAGCCTGGGGGCCTGAGTCAGGGGGAGGGACGTCCCCGTCCAGCTTTCTGATACAGATCCCGGCCTGTCAGAGCCTGTCCTAAAGTCTAAAGTTATTTATCTACTTACTTAGGTGTCAGACTCATGTTGAACAGGGATTTACTCTGATAACAACTTAATGGTTAAGACTAGACCCAATCCAGCCCAAAACAGACCCAAACTGGTCCAAAACGGATCCAAACTGGTCCAAAATGGACCCAAACTGTCCAAAACGGACCAGAACTGACCCAAACTAACCCGAAATGAACACAAACCGGTCCAAAAAGGGGCTAAACTGGTCCAAAACTGGTCCAAAGCCTACCCAAACTGACCCAAATCAGCCAAAAATAGGCCAAAAGATAACGTGGCGGGACGAAGGATTGAATTTTTTGTTGATTCCCTGTTTATTTAGAATGTATTTGATATAAGACCTTAATTTTCCAACCTGTCTTATCCCACGGAGCTGAGCACACGACCCAAACTGACCCAATCCAGGCCAAAAGGGACCCAAACCGGTCTAAGACTGAGATAAACTGGTCCAAAAGGGATGCGTGTCAGCCGGCAGGAGAAAATGCAGATCCAGACTCCAGATCCAGTTTTTTTGTTTAAGTCTGATCCCACACAAGCATTAGCATTAGCATCTGTAACCAAAGGTCTGTGTCCTAACCATCAAGTTGTTATCAGAGTAAATCCCTCTGCACTGTTGGTCACTGCTGGTCTGATGGCTACGATCTGGAGCTCTCCCCACCACACTGGATCTAATCTTAAAACCAAAACGAAGACAAAAGTGGGCTCAGTAAAGTAATCCGATCTGAACCGTGTCCCCCCCCCCTCAGCAACCAGGACAACTACCAGCTGGTGCGCAAACTGGGCCGGGGGAAGTACAGCGAGGTGTTCGAGGCCATAAACGTCACCAACAACGAGAAGGTGGTGGTCAAAATCCTCAAGGTGAGTTCCGGCCCCCCGGTCACCCCCCAGTGGGGTTTTCTCTCCCTCTAACTTTATATCTTTTGCTCCATTATTGTTTTCCTGCTTCACTTTTCACGTTTTTAGCCTATTTCAACAAATAAGGAATCAAAATGTTCACCTCTTTCAGCACTTTTGGTGTTAAAATCTTGTCAACTTTTTAAGTCATTTAACTTTTTCTGCTTTTATTTTCTCTCATTGTGAGAATGCCTCCTGTTTCTCTTTATTATTCCATATTCCGTATGTTTTTCTGCATCTAACTACTCCTACACCTCTCAGTTTATTTCAACAAATAAGGAATCAAAATGTTCAGCTATCTCAGGACTATGCAGCTGTGACTTTTGGTGTTCAAATCTTCTCAACTTTTTAAAATATTTAACTTCTTATGCCTCATTCCTCTCATTGAAATGAATGGAGCAAAACATATGCCCCCCCCTTCAAATTTTTCCTATGAATTCCTCTGCAGCCCTTCAGCCTGTCGTATAACTCAGTGGTAGAGCCTTTGACTGCAGATCCAGAAGTTGCTGGTTCAAATCTTCTTGTACCTTATCTATAATTTCATGGCCTTTTACTCTTCTTCTAATCCTTTTACCTTTCTTTTTCCACTCTTTAGTTTTCAGTTCTTTAAAATTCTTCCTCCCTTCAGCCTTTTTTCTTCCACTTTTTCAGCTTTTCTTTGGCTTCTTCTGCTTCCTCAGTGCTGACTTGTGCTGATGGTTTCTGTCTTTCAAATCCTTGATAAACTCTGACCCACTTAAGCCCTAACTACTTCAGCTGAGTGGATCCAACTGGTTTCCTGATTGTGTTTCAGCTTTTGTTTGTTATCTTCTGGTGATTTTAAAAGCATTTCATTTTTAGCTCTCTCAAATTATTCCTCTGTTCAGCCCTTTTCCTTCACTCTTCATTTCCATGTCTTTTTCAGCTTTTTTTGGCTTCTTCTGGTTCCTCCCTTCAGTATTTCTTCTTCTAATCCTTTACCTTTCTTCTTCCAATCTTCAGTTCTATGTCTTTTACAGCTTTTTTTGGCTTCTTCTGGTTCCTCTCCAGCATTTTTTCTTCTAATCTTCCGTTTTATGTCTTCAGCTTTTTTTTGGCTTCTTCTGGTTCCTCCCTTCAGCAATTCTTCTTCTAATCTTCAGTTCCATGTCTTTTTCAGCTTTCCTTTGGCGTCCTCCATTCAGCATTAGGCATTTTCACGGCTTTTTTTGCACAAACAGCCCTTTTCTAGTTATTTCATTCATTAATTTTCTCCCTTCTCAGCCCGTCAAGAAGAAGAAGATCAAGCGAGAGATCAAAATCCTGGAGAACCTGCGGGGGGGCACCAACATCATCCGGCTGGTGGACACGGTCAAAGACCCGGTGGTGAGTGTTGGGCGCCGCCGTGCTGCATGCCGGCATGTCGGCCATCTTTAATCCCGCCGCCGCGCTAACGACCTTAACGGCCTCCACCTCTGTCCCGGTTAAGCTGTGTGTTGTCCTCTCTTTGCAGTCCAGAACGCCAGCGCTTGTCTTTGAGTACATCAATAACACAGATTTTAAGGTACTTTGTTTGGCCCGCATTATGCGCAGAGCTGCCGTTCACGCCTCTTTATCCATCATTAATACCACGCATAATAACCCTGAGGTTAGAGCCCCCGGCGTCCCTCTGTGGGCCCAGGCCTTCACACCCCTCCTGTGTTTCCTCCACAGGAGCTCTATCAGAAGCTGACCGACTACGACATCCGCTTCTACATGTACGAGCTCCTCAAGGTAAGCTTTAACCGCCTCTGTTCCAAGGTTGGCTGACATGAGCTAGTTTTTTAAAGTCCGATCTCACACGAGCATTAGCATCTCCTAACCCACAGGTCTGTGTTCTAACAATTTTTTGGGGGATTGGTTTGTTAATTTTGGGCTGGATTGGGTTACTTTGGGTCCATTTTGGACCAGTTCGGGTTAGTTTGGGTCAGTTTTGGACCAGGTCGGGTTAGTTTGAGTCCATTTTGGACCAGTTTGGGTCCGTTTTGGGTTAGTTTGGGTCCATTTTGGGTCCGTTTTGGGTTGGTTCGGGTCAGTTTTGGGTTGGTTTGGGTAAGTTTTGGATCAATTTGTGTCCCTTTTGGCCTGGATTGGGTTAGTTTTGGGTCAATTTGTGTCCCTTTTGGGCTGGATTGGGTTAGTTTGGGTCGTGCGCTCAGCTCCGTGGGGCAGGACGGGTTGGCAAATGAAGGTTTTATATAAAACGCATACAAGTTGGGGTTACCTCTGGCTGCCTCTGCTTGTGGATTGCTCTTAGGTCGGGTTAAAGGCTGATAATGAGGCTCTTCCTGCCACAGAACCAGCAGCAACTCGAGCCAGAACTCGATTTATTTAGACGCATTTAATCCGTAAACCCTTTCATTCAGTATTTGGAGGACTTCTGACGATCCTTTGAGGGTTTTTCTGACGGATTGTAACCTGAAACCACCCCAAACTCCAGCCGACGTCACAGTTTTCTTTAGATTATTTGACCCAGAAAGGAGACGTTTTGGGGCCAACTGCTCTGCTTCTGAAGGAGATACGAACCAGTCGGTTTAATTTGAGATCAGCGTGTGGAAACACTCCTTTTTGTCACTTTTGATGTGATTTTCTGACTGAAAATTGAACCAAACGGACTCAGAAAGGCGTTTTAAAACAATGATTCTTCGAGTTTTTTTGTTGCAAACAAAGACTTAAGCTAAAAAAAAGCCTTTTTTTTAAATAAAAAACACTGACTAAAGTTGTAGTTGGTCCGGCCTCGTCGTGCTCCGGTTCCCTCTCGCTTTCCAGAAATAACCTCAAGTCACATTTTACTGGGTCAAAGAACACGGCCAAAGAGTTTCAACTGCTGGGGTCTTATTAGGGTTTGAAATGACCCATCCACCTTTATTATCCGGTGTGAGAAAACCAGAAGGTGTTAGCCCATCGTGCTCAGCTCCGTGGGGCAGGACGGGGTGGGAAATTGAGTTTTTATATCAAATACATGCTTAAATAAACAGGGAATCAACAAAAAAAACATTTTCTGTTGAAATCCATCGTCCTCCATGTTATCTATTTTGGACTGATTTGGGTCAGTTTGGGTAGGCTTTGGACCAGTTTTGGACCGGTTTAGCCTCCCTTTGGACTGGTTTGTGTTTGTTTTGGGCTGGATTGGGTTAGTTTGGGTCCATTTTCGACCAGTTTGGGTCCCTTTTGGACAGGTTTGGGTCCATTTTGGACCAGTTTGGGTCCCTTTTGGACTGGATTGGGTCAGTTTGGGTCCATTTTGGATCAGTTTAGGTCCGCTTTTGGTTAGTTCGGGTCAGTTTTGGACAGGTTAGGGTCCCTTTTGGGCTAGATTGTGTTAGTTTGGGTCATGTGATCAGCACCATGGGGTTGGACGGGATGGCAAATTAAGGTTTTATGTAAAATACATGCAAAATAAACAGGGAATCAACAAAAAAAACTAAACGTTTTTGTTTGAAATTCATCGTCCAGCCATGTTATCTTTTGGCCTATTTTGGACTGATTTGGGTCAGTTTGGGTAGGCTTTGTACCAGTTTTGGACCGGTTTAGCCCCCTTTTGGGCCGGTTTAGGTTCCTTTTGGGTAAGTTTGGGTCCGTTTTAGGCCAGTTTGGGTCCATTTTGGGCTGGATTGGGTCAGTTTTGGACCAGTTTGGGGAGATCTATGTAGGTTTTTGCAGGCAGAAGGTGGAAACGGCGTGGTTTCTGTGGGTTTGGCTGGAGGATGGTCGCGGGTACTGACTCCCTGAATGGCTCTGTTCCCCTCCAGGCTCTGGACTACTGCCACAGCATGGGCATCATGCACAGAGACGTGAAGCCCCACAACGTGATGATCGACCACCAGCTGAGGAAGGTGACACTTTAATCCACTTTTAAGGCTCCGTGATGACGTCGGAAGCCCTATTTCGTGTTATTAATCATTTAGTAGACGGCTTTCCTTTCAGATCTCATGAAAAAGCCTCAGAAACCTAAAATAAATGGGTGTAAAGACTAGACTAAACAGCTACACTTTAGAACACTACATTTCTGCTCAGCCTTTAGAGTTTTTAAAGACATTTCCGGTTGAGTAGATTCGTCTTATCTCTCCAGAGAAACGTAAGAAACCCTCAGTTTGTTTTCAAAGTTTGGGTTAAAAGAAAAAAGTGTTTTTTGAATGGCGTCGATCAGCGTGATGCTTAAAAGAAAGAAAAAGAAACAATGCCTTCTTTGTCATTGCTTAAAAAAAAAAACATCAGCCAATCAGGAAATGATGTGGGTGCTGAGAAAAAGGGGAAAGTTGTGGGAGGTTTTAGAGTTTGTATTTTATAGTTTTGATATTGTTTTTTGCTAAATTTTGTAAGTACGTGATGTTTAACATTTATTTTTGCATTCTGAGTTGTAAAGATTGATTTCAGAGGAAAAAAATCCCAGTTTTGCTGCTTGGATTTGATGTTTTTTGTTGTTTTTAGGTCGAATTATTATTGTTTATAAAGAGAACAGCAGGCACTGACAGCTAAGAATACGTGAAAACGTAAAAAATCTAATCTAATAATATATCAATATATCAAAACAAAAATATTTAGATAAAATCTCGTAATTAGAATAATAATGAGACGGCAAAATGGACAGTAGGGAGATAAAAAAAAAGATCAAATCAAAGTCAAAATCAGCTTTTTATACCCTGATTTCAGAGGGAAAACACTGTAAACATCTGCTCTCTAGCTGCTTCTTCATTTAGAAACTAAAGTCTTAAGCTGTAAACTGATGTCTGGATTTTTCTGTGTCCCAGCTGCGTCTCATAGACTGGGGCCTGGCCGAGTTCTACCACCCCGCTCAGGAATACAACGTCAGGGTGGCCTCCCGCTACTTCAAAGGCCCCGAGCTGCTGGTGGACTACCAGGTGAGTCCAGGTCTAGAACAGCCTCCTCTCTTAGGTCAGCCTCTGGCCCCCCAGGGGTCGGCCCCTGCTCCATCCTCTGGTCTGTGTGCAGATGTACGACTACAGTCTGGACATGTGGAGTCTGGGCTGCATGTTGGCCAGCATGATCTTCCTCAAGGAGCCGTTTTTCCACGGCCAGGACAACTACGACCAGGTAGGAGGCCGAGGGGGGGGGGGACTAGACCAGGACTAGACCCAGGTCTGTTTTTTTAGATCCAGGTCTGGTTTAATAGACCCAGGGCTGGTATTTCTAGTTTTTCCCAGACCCGGGTCTGTTTTTTCTAGACCCGGGTCTGTTTTTCCAGTTTTTTCCAGACCCAGTTCTGGTTTTTCAAGAATATTTTAATTTAAATAATCCTAAATGGAAATTATATTTATATACTCGACACCTGAAGTAAAATTACAACATACATATGACGTTAAAGTAATAGAAAAATATATAAATGAAATATGAAAATAAAATAAAATAAGTAAGCTAAGTTGGTTTAATGTTCCTGTAGTAAAGTCAAACCCTTTTTATTGATTATTTCTTTATCATTTATTTATTTTTCCATCTCTCTTCCAGAAGTAATTAGTTTTCTTGCTATGTGTGATTATCTGCAGTATTTATTAAGGAATTATCGTAGGTTTTTGGAACCAATTCTAGGAATTCCAGAGTATTCTGATGGAGGACTTGAACCAACACACATATTTAACACAGAAGTCCTCCTGGAACCAGATAAATACTTAATTAGAGGTTCTGCTGTAGTGAATCTGCTCTGTGAGCCCAGAATTGCGTCTTTCTGAGTCTTAACTGAGGCTAAACTGCTGAACCGGGGGCTGATGGGGGGGTTTGGTGTGGCTGTCCACAGCTGGTGCGCATCGCCAAAGTCCTGGGCACCGACGAGCTCTTTGGCTACCTGCACAAGTACCACATAGAGCTGGACACACGCTTCAAGGACCTGCTGGGACAGTGAGTATCAGCCCGGTCCAGAAAAGGCATTTATCATCACAAACAGGAGGTTTGGAAGGGTGTGGCCCCCCTATGGAAGACCCACCGCCATGACATGAGTTAAGATGTATAACAATACATTCAAATGTTAGACATCTAATCACAAATACAATTAAAATCAGATTCAAAATGCAATTTATACAAAAAGTTCATTTTTAATTTTAATTTATTTTTATTAAAATGATTTTTCTTGTGTTATCTCGACATGTTGGTTTTTTTAATTAGTTGTGATTCGCCCAAATTTTGTTGATTGTTTTTTAAATGTAGAAATTAAAGTAAAATGTTAAATGAAGAAAGAATTCTGATGAAAAAACATTTTCTCTGTGTAATTTTAAGACGATTTTATATAATCTTTTTTTCTTTTTAACTTTTTAATCTTTTTTAATTGATGAATCCTCTGTATTTCTTTTCTTTACAACTTATTTAACTATTTGTTCCCCAAAATGGTAAACATTTTTAGACGTCCTGGGTCCTTTGACCTGGCCTGGTCCTAGACTCATCCTGGGTCCTGGTCTTGGTCCTGGTCCTGGTCCCGGTCCTGGTCCCGGTCCTGGTCCCGGTCCTGGTCCTGGTCTGGTCCTGCCCCTGGTCCTGGGTCCTGGGTCCTGGGTCCTGGGTCCTGGACCCGTCCTGGGTCCTGGACCCGTCCTGGTCCTGTTCTGGTCCTGGATCTATTCTGGACCTGTCCTGGACCCGTCCTGGGTCCTGGACCCGTCCTGGTCCTGGATCTATTCTGGACCTGTCCTCGGTCCTGGTCCTGGTCCTGGTCCTGGACCCTGTCCTGGTCCTGGTCCTGGTCCTGGTCCTGGTCCCGGTCCTGGTCCTGGTCCTGGTCTAACCCCCGTGTGTGTCCAGGCAGACGCGGCGGCGCTGGGAGCAGTTTGTCCAGGCGGAGAACCAGCACCTGGTGAGCCCCGAGGCCCTGGACCTGCTGGACCAGCTGCTGCGCTACGACCACCAGCAGCGCCTGACCGCCAACGAGGCCATGCGCCACGCCTACTTCTGTAAGCCCCGCCCCTATAGGCCACGCCTACTTCTGTAAGCCCCGCCCCCTCTCTGGGGAACGCCCCCTATAGGCTGCCCCATATAGGCTGTCCCCTATAGGCTGTTTCCCCCACAGGTCCCCTTTAAGCTGTCCCCATATAGGATGTCCCCTATAGGCCGCCCCGATAGGCTGTCCCCTATAGGCTGTCCCCTATAGGCCGCCCCCCTCTTAGGCCCCAGCAGGCCTGAGGCCTAAGAGGGGGTGGGTCCTGGTCCTGGTCTTGGTCCTGGTCCTGGTCTTGGTCCTGGTCCTGGCTAAGTTCCTGGTCCTGGCCCTGGTCCTGGTCCTGGTCTTGGTCCTTGTCCTGGCTCAGTTCCTGGTCTTGGTCCTGGCCCTGGCCCTGGCCCTGGCCCTGGTCCTAGACCGGGACCTGGCCCTGGCCCCTGGCCCTGGCCCTGGTCCTGGTCCTGGTCCTGGTCCTGACCCGGTCTCTCCACAGACCCGGTGGTGAAGGAGCAGGTGAACTCAGACGGCTCGAAGGCGCTCAGCGGCTCCAACGCCACATGATGAGCACACAGCAGGTTCTGACCCGTACCGGCTTCAGGGGGGCCAGGGACCCGTCCAGACCGGGTCTAGACTGGTCCAGACCGGTCCCAGACTGGTCCAACTGGTCTCAGACTGGTTCCGGACTTGTCCAGATTGGTCCGGACTAATCCAGATTGGTCCAGACTGGTCCTGGTCCAGATTGGTCCTGGTCCAGACTGGTCCTCCGTTAGTTGCTGGTCTAAGCTAAATGAGCTAAATGAGCTACGGAGGCCCGTGAGGGCCAAAACTAATGGATTTCTTTTTTTTTTTTAAATCAGAAACTGAAAATTTCTGAAATTAAAATTCAACTTTCAAAAACCAAAACTAGTCATTTAAAAGAGGTGATTTAAGTTTTAATTACATTTTGAATATTTCAAGAAATTGTATTTTTTTATATGATAATTATGGAAAGAAGTGGATTTACACAAATACTATTGATAATGTTTTTTAGTATTACATAATTAGTGAATTCTTGATTCCTGTTTTTTTTCCTTTTAAATGATTTTATAATTCCATTTTTTGTTCTATATTTTCAAATATTTTCGGTTTAATTTTTTATTTTATATTTTCAGAATTTTTTTTGTTCAATTTTTTTTAATATTTTCAGATTTTTTTGGTTCTTAGTTTCATCTGAGCTGCTGTTTTTGAGTGTTTGAAATGGAAAGACGTACTTATTTCTCTGGCATTTATTTATTTAAGAGGGCTGAAACTGTCAGTCTGACAAACGAGTTCAAATAATCTAGATGTTTTTTATTTTTACACTTATTTAACTACTGTATTTTATTCATCTTATTCAGTATTCTGTATTATTTTCCGTTTCCCTTTATTTTGACCTTCATATGAATTTATTTGTTTTGTTTCTATATTTTTATTTGTAGATGTATATTCTGTTTATTAAATGTTTATCACTCTTATGCTGGGATTTGTGTCGGATGTTGACCTAAAAGGCCAAAAAAAGATCTTCATGATCTGATGGTGAGAAATGGACCAGAAACAGTTTAAATAAATATTTTTTAATTCTGAAGATCTGAAGAACAATCTGGACTTTTTTTTTTTTTTAATGCTTGGTTTTAATTTCATTTGAATTTTTTTTTCTAAATGTTTCCTACTTGAAATGTTTGTTTTTAATGAGGAAATAAAAAGTTAAATATTGATTAAATATTAATTTGTTTATTTAGCAAATATACAGTTAAATATTTATTAAATATTAATTTGTTGAATTATTTTGCAAATATACAGTTAGATATTGATTAAATATTCATTTGATAAATTCTTTTTAGGAATATTTGAGTTTGGTGCTAAACCTGGGCTTTTATTTTGAAGTGGTGTCCGGACAGCTCACCTGGTTGTGTTTCTCCCCCAGGAGAAATCTTTGTTACCTCAGCTTGTGACCTTTTCGTGGCAGAGCCTTCAACAGCCATACTGGAGACAGATGTCAGTTTTTCGCAGCACAAACAAGCTTCTCCCGTCGGGGACCCAGACCAGAACCAGAACCAGAACCTCCTCCGGCCTCCAGAACCCCAGACCTGTATTTTGTCCTAACTCAGAGTGACTGTTGTGGGCGTGGCTCCGGCCGGCGGGCGGCCAGACGGAGATCGGGTTTTAGCACTGAGTGACCTGGAGGCTCCTTTCTGCTGTGGATAGAACAAAACTATATTGAAAGAGAATAAATCATTTTTATTTAAAGGACTCAGTCTGAGGATTATTTGGGAGAACCTCTGTTTGGCTTATATAAATATATATATATTTGTGTGTGTGTATATATTGAATAACTATGAATAGAAGAACCAACATTTAGATAAAAGATTAACATTAAAAAGTCTGAATTTATAGATCAAAAGTCATATTCCATAATTAGAATTTCCACATCTTGTTCAATTATGGCTTCATTTATTGTAACGTGTGTGTATATATATATATATGTGTATATATATATATATATATATA